CATTTAATAAGTTATGACACTCTCTAGTGCAGAGAATTTAATTCCCAGTGAAACAAGGAACTCTGAGGGTGCCGTACACAAACACGAGACTCTTAGACAGATAATCCCTTCTAATAACTTTTGAGATGTCCCAAATCTCAAATCTAACTTGCTAGGATATTTCAAACACATGTTGGGCTTTTTTAAAAAGTGTCATATTTCCTTCTACTGGTAGTTTTGCAAATGTAAATTTAGAAATGCAAATATTTAAGAATATTGTAAGTGATCATTGATAAGTTAATCAAAATTCTCATTTTACCATTCAGACACTTTCTGATCTAGACAGCTAGGTAGTAGTTGATGCTCATGTCTGTGTCCTTATTTACAAAACACTCAGTTGAATTACACTATTCACAGCACTACTTCAAAACATTAGCTGGACATCTATCTTCATTTTAGCAAAAAAAATCTGATGAGTCCCTTAACTTCATGAATCTGGAATGCGCTATACCAAAATACACATGACAATATTCATTGCAGACCTCTAGATAAGTTTGAGTATACTCAAAGTATACTTATACTCTGTTTTCTTATCTAACAAAAGTCACAGAGCAGTTCTACTTACTAAGTATTACTATTGCTTCAGGGCCACAAAAGGTCCTGTGCAACAGATATCCTTGTGTAAGGGGCATCAATATTCAAAGGCCCACAAGGAATTTGGTGACATGTCCAAAGTCACCTACAGAGGCAGACAAATGACATGGATATAAACCAAAAACTACTCAACTTGGTACACCCCAGGTTATTCTGGACAGAAAATAGAATTACTACAATGAAGTGCAATGAAACTTCTCAAGTAACATAACAAGTTTTTGACAGCCACAGTAACTCTTCAAGAACTCAGAAAGACTGCCAGACATACACTTAAAAGCTTACAGAGGCCCACAACACAGTCCAAGCTGTGCAAGGTATGCACCGTACCCAAAGAGCACAACAGAGAAAAGCAGCTTGTCTCTCCAAAGTCATAGCTTCATGTCTGTAAGGCTGGCAAGCCAGTACAATTCTCTCTGATGAGGACTATTTAGCTAGGGTACTGCCACACAGCTATAACTGTATTGCTTGAACTTGTGCAGAGCATTTGTTCAGCCAGATGCCACAAACTTGTGGGGGAGGAGAGCTTCCTGCACAGTCCTCAATTATGCAGTACAAACATACCCTCAGTTACCCTTGTCCAGCCATAAAGGGAAAGCACCAGTCTGAGCTTACTATGTTAGTAGGAAAAAAAAATTGTATGCAGAGAATATCCCATTTGACTTCACATCACAGAAGCCCCATCCTGAATAAGATGACAGCTGAGGACAGTGATTGCAACCCATCTGATAATGTGCAAGCACATCTCTTAAAAAAAATTCTAAAAAGCTGTAGCCAACCACATAGCCACTTCAGAAAAAGCATGTGACACTAATGTCCTCTTCAGTGAGATAAGGCAGACCACAGTACTTCATTGGTTTGATTAGGAAAGCCAGGAGATTCCTGGAAACATGCCCTTCTCCAACAGAGCCACTTCCATGTCTATCATCATCTACAGTACAATTAATGATAAAAACACATGTGTTTCATTGAAAGATGACACAAACAAACCCATTACTTAACTATATTTCATGGTCTACAACCTTGTGAATATTTTCATACACATGAAGTAGTACCAAATACTAATAGAAAAAAGTTTCCATCTACTTTAAGAAAACAAAGTATTTTGAAAATATTGCCTACAAAAATCTAGAGACAGAACTGCACTACACATTCCTTTAAATGCTACTTACAGCTGTTGCAAAGAAGACCACCAAACACTACAGTAATGAACACCATGATGAAAAAAGATAGAAGCTAGAAATAAGATCACTCATATGCAGTATCAACCATTTTTAATACCGTAACTGTCAAACTCGCCACTGAGTGAGTTTGTTACTGTAACTGTCAAACTACCATGTCCCACCATTATTTTGAAAAGCCCAACAAGAATTACCATAAGTAGCTGTTGAGGGAAAAGGAAAAACTAGACAAGCATACAACTCCTCCTCCTTACACTCACAACCTCCAGCTGTTTTCGAATCAGATTTCTTGGGACTGTTTCCCACCCACTTACTAACATCAATGTATCTGTCTTCCAACCTTTGTCCAAACTCCCTTTTAGTTCACATTGTATAGCAAATATATCTGTGTATTCCTACACTTAGTTTCTTTTGTTTGTTTTGAACTGAGTGTGATTTCCTCTTGCATGTTCACCTACTTGCTCCACAGTACTTTTACAGAGCCTTACCATATCTCTGTTCCATCATCTCTACTAGGCTGACAAGTCCTATACTGTTGAATCTTTTATCATCTTTGAACTAAATTCATATTCTCTTGTTATTCAGTGAACATTTTCCAATAGTAATGCATCTTTTCTAAGATGGGGGGCAGAACATCTGAGAGTATGTAAGTTATGAAAGAACCATGGATTTATGCAGCTATGTGTCTTTTTCCTATTGTATTTTCTAGTCATCCCACGTGCTCTGATCATCAGTTGCTCTCTGGTTGTAATAACTATCAGGCATTTGTTTTGCCTCGCCCTTCCAACTTTCAAATACATACTGCCACTAACCAGGTTCTTCAAACACCAAAGTTCTAAACACTTATTCATTCTCTTCTGTAAGACTAGACCTAAATGTAAAACAAGCACAGTTAAAGGATTTTTTGTATTTTTGAGTAACTAAATGGGAGGGGGAAGGGTCAGCATGTGACTGATAGAAGTGCTCCTCCATAAGAGAGCCACCAGATCTTAACTTGCTACATATCTAATACTCTATGAATACCAGAGGTAGGAAGAAAATGAATTTTTAGGGACTCTGTTTGATTACATTTCTGTACTTTTAAGCCACAGCAATGAAGCTCTCAGATTTGGTCTACACCTTTTTACAAAGTCCTTTCATCTTATTGAGATGTTTATTTCCGAAGAAGTTATGCACATGTAAGCAGTTTCAGCAAGCTTTGCCAGCATGAAGGTAGCCTGTACTGTCAAGACACACAGGATTAGAAAAATTAAGTCAAGCTCTATTGTCAAAAATACTCATCTTTTGGATTAAGTAGCCCTCTTGTATATAAAATTACACCTCTTGCACATGAAACCCACAGCAAAATCAATACTGCTATACTATGCAATTGCCCAAAGATCAGCATGTCGGGTCTTTCTGTAAGCCATTTAATTCATGTGTTTTCCCCAGAAATTCCTTTTTTCCAGTTCCTACCAACACTTCAGCCCTCACTTCTTTAGCCGTTTCAACTCAGCTGGAATTACCTCCCAAATACACTTTGGCACCAAGGTCAGGAATTGCTGTTGCAAGGAAACCAGTCTGGACCGCTCCACTGAGCACCTCTGTTCAAAACAGCGGCATCAAAAATGGCCATGCAATAATACAGCAGGAGTTCATTCCCCAAAAAATTAATTCTTCTTACAACAGAACCTAAATGACTGCTGCTAGACCTGACAAATGCGCTCAGGCCATACTGACTTCCGTGACATCTACAATACTCTTTTCATTTGATTCACCTGAGGGTAACCATTACCATCTTCCACTGCAACCCCACACTTAAAGCTTGAAGTTTTTCAACTCCCTCCACAAAGTTTAGCATCTCTTTGCTATATATAGGGAAATTTCTCCTATACATAGGGAGTATCCTCCTGCCAGCTAAGAGACCTCATACAGAAGGGCAAGGTAGTTTTAACATGAATTAAAACTATTAAGCAGTCTGTTCTTACACAGACTCTACCTTGAAGAAGTTCACATGAATTGGGAATATACCTTTTTGCAGCAGCGACCAGATGGAGAAATGGTCTAGAACACACCTGCAAAACCTTTCAATGTGAGCACAAGCATTAACTTCTGAAACCAACATTAAAAGATTTTAACATTTGTAAAATTCATGGCCCTTTGAAACACTAAGTTATCAACAGCCCTGTTATAACAAAGGAAAAGCACACTGAACATACTGATGTCAGAGGAAGTGAGCACTTCATTAGACTGCCAATTTTATCAAATGTGACTCAAGTCTCTTCTTGAAGAGTAACGGAAAGATGATGAAAACTCGTGTGTTTTCAATGCTATTTCTCTGTGCATCACAGCATTCTTTGTGTTATGAACTACACATCCCTCCTCTTCAGGCACTGAACACAAATCCCTGTGCGACACCTTCTTGGAAAAGGCCCTGAAGGAGAATATCAGAGTAAGAGCTCAGAGGCTCATTAACAAAATCCAGACCTTGAGTCATCTGAAGGGAGGGGAAATTACAAGCGTGGAACCACATGTATTTTTCAGCAGCACAGGAAGGCAACACATGCCCGCTTCACTGAGCCACCCGGCCCAATAAGGAAATGAACCCAAGCTCCGTAATTTTACCCATCTCCCCTCACCAACACTTCCACCCCCCAGGACTAGAAACCCGCCGGGGCAGCGTGCCCACCACCCGAGCCGACCCCGCCACCGTGCAACACGAGGACAAGGGGAAGCTCGCCGCTTGCCATGTGTGCGCACTTCTCCCTCGCCCAGGAACTCGTCAGCCAGCGGGGCAGGGAGAAAGGCGAGGCCAGGGGCGGCCGCGCCGCCCACCGCCGCCGGCACAAGCCCTGCGGGGCTCTCACAAAGGAACGGGGGGGTGGACGGGGCAGCCGCGGCCGCCGAGCACACGGAGCCCGCGGCCGAACAAAAGGCTCCGGCCCCGCCGTCCCCCCGGGGATGGCTGCGGGCGGGGGGACACGGCCCCGCGCACGCGGCCGGCGCGCGGGGACACCGGGCGAGAGGGGCCGGGACCCCCGGCCCGAGGGTCCCGCCGCCGAGGGCTGCGGAGCCACGGCAGGAGCACAGCCCCGCCGCGCCCCGTGCCCCGGCAGGAGCACAGCGGCGCGACCCCCGGGCAGGACGCGGGGCAGCGCTGCCCCAGGCGGCCCCTTTGTGCGCCCCGCACCGCACAGCACCCCCCGTTACCGTGGTGAGCAACGGTCTCATCTGCTCGCCCGCCCGCTCCTCTTCCATCGCGGCCCCGCCGAGATCGCCCGGGAGACAGAGAGAGAGAGAAGGGCGCGGAGCGGCAGACGAACGGCGAGCTGGAACCGGACGCGGGAGCTGCGCTGCCTGGCGGAGGCGGGCGGCGCCGGTGCCCTCAGGACGGGGCGGCCGCGACTGCTCCGCCGCACCGGGGGCTGAGCCCGGACCGCCTCGGCGGCGCGCCCGCGGCCCCCGCCCCGCGCCGCCGGCCGGGCCAATGGCAGGCGGCGCGGCGCGGCGCGGCCCCGCCCCCGCCCGCCGGGCCGGGGCAGCGCGGGCCGCGGGGGCGGCCGGCTCGGTCCCACGCGGAGCCGCGTGGCGGGCCCGGCTCCCGCGCCGGGAGCGCCGCCCGACACACGGGATCGGATCCCGGCGGGACCGACAGCACGGGAGGGCAGCGAGCTCCCAGCGCTGCCGGCGACTACGGCTGCTTGATGCTTGCCTTTTATTTCTTTTTCTTTTTTCTTTTTTTTTTTTTTTTCTTTTTTTTTTTTTTTTTTTTCTTTTTTTTTCTTTTTTTTTTTTTTTTTTCTCTTTTTCTTTTTTTCTTCTTTTTTTTTTTTTTAACACTCTTCGCACTTCCCGGTAACTTCTGCCAGCCTCTTACCACGCAAGCTGAAATTTTCCATGCCAGGTGTCTGCCTCGGGCTGATTTTTTTTTTCTTTTTGTAAAAAAAGTAATGAAAATAATGCAGTCGTTTCCAAAAATAATATTATTTGCCCTTGCATAAATAGTCCAACAATCTTTTATTCAAAAGGCTGGGGGGCTGGGAGCAGTATCAAGGTTGTACTTCTGGCTGCCCCTGTAAAGCTTTGCTCCAGTGAAAGTTTTTTGAAACAGCTGTTAACACTTGTCTAGTAGAGATAATTTTGCCTTGTCTGCCTCTGTAAAAATTAAAACCTCCTTAGGCTGTCAGTTGTGAAACACCTTGTGTTGATGGGGCTGAACATCCACACACAGCAGGTGAAACATCCCTTCATGCTTCCTGTTCTTGACTACATGCTCTTGTTGCCCTGGGGCTCCTCCTAGTCCCACTACACTTTAGGGGGGATTGCATACAGTGGTTCCTTTTCCCACCCTGACACTGCCTGGCCAGAGGAGAAAAGTCTGTATTTGCCCATGGCTTCTGGACTGAGCTGTTCCTGAAGCTCAAACATTAACACAGGGAGGTGATGGGCACCAGCAGGGCAGAGAGGCCATGAAGCTCCACACGTGCAATACAACCAGTTCCCTGGATCACTCTCGGGATGCTCCGGGTTTAGCATTTGTTACATACAGTGTTGGAACTCTGGATGGCTGAGAAGTGTCAGGAAGAAAACAGCAATGCCTTCAATGCAACAGGGCCAGTCCCAGCTTGACTTCAGAAAGCAGCAAAAAGTCTAGAGTCACTTGAGAGGCACAGAGGTTTCAGGATCAGGCCAGGATCACAGGGGATGCAGTGTAAAAGTGAAGGCAGGCTGACAGCACAGTCAAGACAAAGCAAGGCGGGGAGATCTCAGTTGGAGTGGGTCTCAAACAAGCCCTCTCGAGACAGAAGAGCTTTGGGTCCTATCAGCCGTTTTAGAAGCAGCAAATTAAAGGAATGTGTGCCCAGGCTGAACTAAGAACACTATAAAAGGAGGCTCTGCAGAGCTTGTGGACAAAAATATAAACCTGGCTGTGGAGGCAAAGCAGGCCTCTGGCACTGCCTACCAGCAGGAGGCTCAGCACAGCCTCAAACACCGGCTTGCTTTGGAGGCTGGCCACAGGAGAGCAAAATGCTCCTGACGTTTGCCTGAGCCTGGGGAGGAAGAGCTGATTGGTGACCAGTAACCCTCTCTATGCTTTCCAGGAAAGGTTCTGGCAGAGCCAGATCAGTCTGCAAACAAAATTAGTTCACTATTTCTCTGAACAGAAGCAAATGCCCTGGAGGGAATAGCAGGTGCACACACCGTTGGATGGCACTGAACACAGATGCAATCCTTGCAATCCTAGCCAGAGCTCCTGACCCATACAACCTGGAAGGAGGTTTTAAATTAAAGATTTGGCATGCACCTACACCAGGTCACTAAAACCTGCTCTTTGAGAAATGCATCATTGGTGTAAACTCCACCTGCCTAGTTGTACTGAGGAGATGAAGACAAGCTGTGCAGAACTAATTGAATAGAGAGCAATCTTAACACATTCTTCAATCAAAGATTATGATCCAGAGTTTTAATGGATAATAAAGCACTGTGCACAACCACCACAAAAGTAATGACACGCCTTGATACACCAGCAGTGTAACTGTGACCTATTCCATCCTTTCCTTTTCCAAGAACAGTACTGGCAATTTCAGCCAAGTTAAACCATTGAAAATGATCTTGTACAAAACAGCATGGTTATAAAAGGGATGGACTGTAACTTCAGGTCCCACATAATTGGTGCTAAATATGTCTTGGGAGGCAGATTGTAGCGATCCTCCATTGATATTGGGATGATGACAAACCATCTTACAAGTACTGAACTTCTCCATTCTCTGGGTATTCAGCTCAGAGAACAGTAATATCTAAAACAGGACTTCCCATAGTGTGCAGTGAACTACCGTATTTAGTGAGATTTCTCAGGGGACAGGAGATGAAGGGTTACAGTGAGAAAACTGTTTGGTCCATCAAAAACATGACATGAATGCCAGATAGGTTTGGCATAAAAGGATGTTCCTTTCCACTTGATCTCTGAGAAGGGAACTCTGACAAGATGCTCTACCGCTTTTTTCACTGCCATCAGAGAATGCACAATGGACAAATCAAGGTCCAGTAGGCCAGTAGGGCCTAGCATTCATTCACCCTACTTCCTTTGTCATCCTGTGGATAACAGTATCTCCAGGTAAACACACAGTCATCTGCTCAGCTGAAAATCTTGTTTGCTCACTGCATTCCATCTGGTCACCATATGTATAACTACAACAGAAAAGGCCAACCTAGCTTCCCCGTGCCATGCTGCCAGAGTGAAAAGAAACTGATGCCACTGTTGACCAACAAGTTGACCAGAACTTCAAAACATTCAAACCTTACCAAACCCCCCAGAAGTCATTATCAAAATAGAAGCAGGCCAGCTTTGTGCATATGAATATGAGTGCAACAGGTGACGTATGAAAGGAGATCAGTAGGGCTTGTGTGGCACTGAAGAGGTGGCCCATCAATATCTTTAATAAGATTCTGTACCTGGTCCACTAAGAGTGGCCTGATGGTGCTTTTCCTCCACTCCTCTCCCTCCCTTTCCTTCCCCATCCCCTCCCCAAACACATTCTTGGACATAGATGGAAGCGGCAGAAATTGCTGGATAAGCCAGACCTCTGATTAGGAAATTGCCTATCTCCTGTCTCCTTAGGGCAGTGCCATAAGAGTCAGCTTTGCACTTTATTCTCCTGCTGTTTAATTTCTTGCCAACTACCGGGTGCTTAAAAGACTCAAAGAAAGGAAGTTAGAGGCTGAAAAAAGCACCTTCCACCTAGCCTGACACCGCCATCAGATCCATTCCAGTCACCAGCTGCTCTGGCAAGTAGGACCTCTGACAGGAAGTTACCACAAACTTCATTAACAGGATGGAAAGATGATTTTTGATGGGATAACTGGAACAGCCATTACTTTCACCAAAGTAGATTCTTTCTCAAGTCTTTTATTATTAATACTGGCTGTTCTTACAGGCTGACACAATATTACTAACAAAAACACTGTCAACTTTAATGGAGCTGAGTACCTGGTGCAGGTAATCACAACAGGAGGTTATTTTAGCAGCATTTTTAGCATTTTATTTTACCTCTAAGAATGGCAAAGGAGGAAAATGCCAGGAGTCAGTGTTCCATGGTTCTTGTAACCTTTCAAGACAAAGCAGACATAATTTCCATGGCTAAGCCAGAGTTTCATACTAGATGAGCCATCAATACAGAAATAAAAAAAGGAGCTGAGGGCAGAAGAAGATAAGGGACCTGCCCCCTCTTTCTCATTAGAGCATCTAATGCTGGCAGAAGCAAACAAAATTAAAGAAATAGCCTAAGGGGGAGAGGGAAGCAGTATGAAAACAACCAGTTCCTATAGCTACACTAGGACAAAGAACATTCAAATACGAGGAACAAAAGTCAAACAAAAGGTGTAAGGGCAAAAAGACACAAATACTAGTGCAAACAATCACAAGTACAGAAGGAGACAGGCATGAGAAACACCTGGGTAGGTTGAGAAGACTGGCTTCAAGCGAAGAAGTGGAGTAAACCTGGCGAGAAAGTAAACCTGATTTCTCAGGGATCAGAAAGGTAAGTATCAGATGTTAAATGGGGTGTGAGGGAAAGAAGGAGTGAGTAAACAAACACAAACTACAGCTGCAAAAGGAGAAAGAGGCATTCTGACGTAATGCTCTTAAAGAAAAGGGTCTAGGGAAGGAAGATTCTCTGCTAGGAGGATTATAGGAGAAAACTGAAGGGTCTCAGGACCCCTGACAATGTAATTTCTGTATCACATTTTAAAAATGAAACCTTTTCCTATGTGCTTAACTAAATGGTGCATTCTTTACACTCTGAGTACCTGTTTGCCAGGTTCAGACTGAAAAAAAACCAAAGACATTTGCAAAGAAAGCCAGATGATGTTGCATTTTGAGGACAAGTGTCATACAATACTTAGATCATTAAAAAATTACCAGTTCAGGTATCTAAAATTGGATGCTGAAGACCAGTTGAAACTTGACATTGTTTGGCTAGCTATCTGCAAAAAAAAAAAGATAAATCCCCCTTCCCATGATTGTGAAAGCTATCATGAAAGTCAGTGCTTATGAAAGAAACAGATATATAAACGTAATTGTTAGTAATAAACAAAAAAGAAAAACAATAATGTCACTCTACTGCAGTGAATAATAAGTAAATACATCCTAAATCTGCACAATTAAAATAAAACACCTAGAAGCTGCTCATTAAATGCTGTCATATTTTCTGTGATGAAGGCAGTATGAGTGATCTTGTAAAAAAAAAAAAAAAACAAAACAAAACAAAAAAAAAAAATACCTGAAGCAATTCTGTAAATGAAAACCATCTCATAAGGCACATGAACAACAGAGTCAAATCAAAACTAAGAACAACCTGCACATTCTAGCAGATCCTTAACTAAGATTTACAAATGTTGAGTGCTCATCTCTGCACAGTTTGTGGGTGTAAT